TAAAACACAAAGTTTTTATTTATTTAGAACTTTTATTTATTTATTTATTTATTTTTATTTTTTGAAACGGAGGCTTGCTCTGTTACCCAGGCTGGAGTGCAGTGGTCCAATCATGGCTCAATGCAGCTTCAACCTCTCAGACTCAAGTGATCCTCCTCCCTCAGCCTCCCGAGTGACTGGGACCATAGGTGTGGGCCAACACACCTGGCTAATTTTTTTTTTTTTTTTTTAAGTAGAGATGAAGTCTCACTATGTTACCCAGGCTGGTCTCAAACTCCTGGGCTCAAGCAATCCTCCTGCATCAGCTTCCCAAAGTGCTGGGATTGTAGACATGAACCACAGTGCCTGGCTTATTTAGAACTTTTTTTTTTTTTGAAATGGAGTCTCTGTTGTCCAGGCTGGAGTGCCGTGGCACCATCTTGATTCATTGCAACCTCTGCCTCCTGGGTTCAAGTGATTCTCGAACCTCAGCCTCTTGAGTAGCTGGGATTATAGGCACCCGCCATCATGCCTGGCTAATTTTTTTTTGTATTTTTAGTAGAGACGGGGTTTCGCCATGTTGGCCAGGCTGGTTTCAAACTCCTGACCTCAAGAGATCCACCCACCTCGGCTTCCCAAAGTGCTAGGATTACAGGCGTGAGCCACTGCGCCCGGCCCCAAGGATATTTTTGAAAGACTCACTTTGTATTAAATGTCTTCCTTTGATATTGATCTAACCTCTTTCTTCCTATTTTTTGCTGCGTTCTTAGCATTATGAATATTTAGTGACTATCTGTGATTATCTCTATGCATGATCACATTTCCTATTCTGTAGATAAAAAGAAAATGCCATGGAAAGCCTTTCTGCCTGGGTCAAAAGTTGGCTTTAGCTCCTCAGATTACATTCAATAGTAAGATTCTTCTTTTGCTAAGATCCTCTAGCAGACCATCAAATCTCTTTGGATCTTTTTCTTTCTTTCTTTTTTCTTTTTATTTGAGATGGAGTCTTGCTCTGTCACCCAGGCGAAAGTGTAGTGGCACAGTCTCGGCTCACTGCAGCCTCTGCCTCCTGGGTTCAAGCAATTCTTCTGCCTCAGCCTCCTGAGAAGCTGGGATTACGGGTGCGTGCTCGGCTAATTTTTGTATTTTTAGTAGAAGACAGGGTTTCACCATGTTGGCCAGGATGGTCTCGAACTCCTGACCTCAAGTGATCCGCCCACCTTGGCTTCTCAAAGTGCTGGGATTACAGGCGTGAGCCACTGTGCCTGGCCTGGATCTTTTTCTTAACCCCCTACTGCATCTTTGAGATCATGTCTTCTCCCTTTCTTATGGTTCTGCCTTGCCCCTGCTGCTCAAATGTTCATTGTCCACAGATTCCTGGCTCCCTTGGCAGCCTCCCCAGTTCACTGAGCCATTGGGCTAGTCAGGCTCTGTCCATGCCCATAGGCTTTCTGTTCTTGCAGTTGCAGAGCATGGCACGGTTAAGAGGGCACGCCCTGGAGTCAGACTGGCTTAGGTTTGAATCCTGCTTCTGATGCTTACTACCTTTGAAACTTTGAATAATAATTTGACTTTCTGAGCACCAGTTTTCTCATCTGTAAATTGGAGATAATAGTAGTCTCCATCTTACTGAATTATTGTGAGGATTCTTTCAGTCATCCAACACGTATTTATTAGTTGCCTAATGTGTGTCAGATGTTTTAGGTGCTAAGGATAAAGGTGTTGAACAAAAGAAATAGAGTCCCTGTCTTCATGGAACTTATACTGGAGGAGTCAAACAAAAGCATAAATAAACAACAACAAAATACATGTTTATCTTTCTAAATATTACATCTAGCTGTCTTTCTATCTGAATTTAAGGTAATAAGTATCTATGAACAAAAACAAAGAGAATAGAGAAAGAGGTGCCAGAAAGTCATTATTTGAGGTCCTCTGTGAGGATCTTACTGAGGATGTAATATTTAAGGCGTGATCTGAATAAAGGGACAAAGCTAGGTATGTGAACAGGGAAGAGTGTTCCTGGCAGAAGGGCCATCAAGAAGAAAGGCTCTGCAGTGGGATGAACAGAGACTATATAAATAAAATTTTGGCATAGTTATGGCACAAAATGAGCTGCGGTTAATGCTCTTATAATCACTACTACTGTAACTGTCATTAATGACACTGTTAGAGTCATAATAAAGGGGCTGTAATATGGCTTGGGCAAGAATTGACTTCTGACCATTATTCTGAGATCCTGGCACAGGTTGTAAGAGTTGATGTCTTTCTCTCTCCCTGTCCATTACATTCTGTCCATGATAGTTTCTGATGCCTACTACTCAGGTGAATTTCAAGGATTGCATCCACTTTACCCCCACCCCTTAAAGAGAGCACCCAGGACAAAGCTCTGCATGAAGTACAGACTGTGAATTGGTGTTGACTCTTGGGCCCCTCAACCCACTATCTCCTTTCTCCATCCCATCAGATCGAGAGTGGCCTGATTTTGGTCTGGAACAGAAAAAGCAGAAGTGCCCCTGAGGATCTGGGTCTTCATAGACTCACAGGCCCTTCCCTGTCCTGGACAAACCCTTGTGGCTCTTAGGGTGGGATCAGCACGAGGAAGGAGGCTCCTACTATAGTTTCTTGTAGGTTATTTTGCAACCTAACTTCTTCCCCTCTCGTTTTCTCCACGGACGTCATCTGCTCCCAGACCATTTCCCTCCCATCCCTGACACTTCCTATCTCTTAGTTGTTTCCCCTACAAGCCCAAGTTCTGCCACAGCACACATTGCAATATCACAATTTAGGAGGGAGGCAAGTATAAAGTGTAGAAATCTGAATTATGGAAGAGATTTCTTTTTTTCATAAAGAAATGCAACTTTATTATTTTCAAGTACATAGGTAGTACCTCAAACTAATGTCTTACAAAAGGTCACCGATAAAGATCCTGTAGATGTTTCTTTAACAAAAACATAAAGATTGATGATAATTAGCCCATGCACTTGCTGCTTCTAAAAGGATATTTCTTAAGTGCCTGAAAAGTATTGTTTTCGGTAGACTAAACATGCCACCTCTAGCAATATTGTTTATACTCTTAATTTACTAAACAAATGCCATTTTTGATTGTGCAAAGATAAACTTTTGTCCACAGTTAGTAATCTCCAATTAATCAGACCCAAATTAATATGGTCTCCCACTTAGATTCCCAGGCCCAAGGCAATGACTCCCTTACTTCCAGGTGCTTCTGATAAAGCTAAATTCCAGTGCAATGAAATGACAGCATTTGGGAGGTGGTTTATGGGTCTGACCCAATGCTTGTCTTTTGTGCTTCCTTCCTGTCTGCCTTAGGTCTTCCATTTTCCTCAGATGTCTCTCTCACTTGCAAGACTTATCTAGGTCTCTCTCTACAGGACATTCCCAGGGCCTTCTAAGCCAGGCTTAGAGAATGGGCAAAGCTGCCTGCAGAGCACAAATGTTAGATAGGGAGTAAGGGAAAGAAAGGTATCTCCTGTAGGAAACTGAAACCAACTCTCCAGCCCAGGGAAAGTGGGCACAATGATCGTCGGTGTGAAGGGCATTTGCCTGGAGGGAATAGCCCTGCCACCTAAGACGTCAAAAGCAAAAAATTTTTTTTTTTTTTTTTGAGATGGAGTCTTGCCCTTTCACCCAGGCTGGAGTGCAATGGCACGATCTCAGCTCACTACAACCTCCGCCTCCCAGGTTCAAGCAATTCTCCTGCCTCAGCCTCCTGAGTAGCTGGGATTATAGGCGTGCGCCACCATGCCTGGCTAATTTTTTTTGTAGTTTTAGTAGAGACAGGGTTTCATCATGTTGGCCAGGCTGGCCTCGAACTCCTGACCTCATGATCCACCTGCCTCAGCCTCCCAAAGTGCTGGGATTACAGGCGTGAGCCACCGCGCCTGGCAAAAGCAAATCTCGTAATATTTTTCCTCTTGTCCAAAGGTTCTGATCATGTTCATGACCTAAGCTTGTCCCTGGAAGCATACATGTCCCTGCCCTGGGAGACAGGAAGGTTCTGGGAACTTCTCCATCCTGATTCTAGCCAATGGCCAGGGAACTCCTTTTCTAGGGTTGCCTTGGCAGTGCCAGGGAATGATGCAGGTTCGTCGGGATGGGCATGAAGAGAAAGGGAATGGAAGGGGTTGGGAAAAAACTTGTGGCCATCCCTCTCAGAACAGCATGGAGCTCTGAGGACTTAGTATTACAGAAGGTGAGGTGTTATTAAGTACATGAGTGACATCTGGGCCTTGTGGACCAAGAGGTCCCCTAACCAAGGGTCAGCAGGGAATTCTGTGGTGTGGCGTTTCTGGAAGCTCTTGATTGCCTTCTGGTCCTGCCTTTGCTGCTACCCTGATGAGATCTGAGTTTGTTCTGCCGGTGGGGTATTCTAAAAGGCAGGACATAGAGCTGGAGTCCATGACATCTATCTGGAGACTCAAGACACGTCAAATGTCTTGTCATTGGCACTACCTCGCTTCCTTTGTTGTTTCCTTCCTCCAGCCAGCACTACCCCCACCTCCCACCTGTCTGCCCAGCTCTCCCTGCAGGTCCCTTACCAGCCTTGACTGGGAGACACATCAGCCTTTTCCAGCCTCAGGCTCTTGCACTCACCCGAAGAACCTTTTATGATTGCAAGGTCTGAAGAGGAAGCCAGGGACAGAGTCCTGCAGGAAGCTAACGGGGGTGGAAGTGGGAAGTGGAGTGAAGCTGGGGTGATCTGAGAGGGCTTCCTTCTGGTTTAGACAGGTTCCTGCCTTTGGATGCTGATCTATTACAGTAGGAGGTGGGATTGAAGGGATGGGAGTGGGGAGGCTGGGGTAACCCTTAATTCCTCAGAAAAAAATAGACAACATAGTGGAGTGGGATGGAAAAGGATCTGGTTGGGGGACTCTAACGTAGTGTCTAATCTGATTGTTCACAGTTAGGTCTATGGGGTCATCACTCCAATTTATTTACCCCGCAACTTAGCCTGCTGAGTTGCCTCATTATCTCTCCCCAAATCTTGCCACCCAATGCCACCCGTTATTTCCATCCCTCTCCATCACCATCCCCACAACACCTCCAGAGCTCCCCATCTTTCTGTGCCTGGTTCTTCTTCCAATGGGGTCAGTAGTATGTCTCCTTCTCCACCCAGCCTGTTAGAGAGATTGGGAGTGGAGATTGCAGTGTGAACTTAAGAGAAGGCAAGATATCAATATCCTAGGGGCTTGGGTCGCTGAGGCCAGGTAGAAGGAGAAGCCTGGTGAAGGGCACTGAGGAAAGTGGCTTAAGAAGGTGAAAGGAGGCCAGGAGCAGTGGCTCACGCCTGTAATCCCAGCACATTGGGAGGTCGAGGCAGGTGGAGATCGAGACTCCTGGCTAACACGGTGAAACCCTGTCTCTACTAAAAATACAAAAAATTAGTTGGGCGTGGAGGCATGTGCCTGCAATCCCAGCTACTCTGGAGGCTGAGGCAAGATAATTGCTTGAACCCGGGAGGCAGAGGTTGCAGTGAGCCAAGATCGCGCCACTGCTCTACACTCCTGGCTAGGCAACAGAGCGACACTCTGTCTCAAAAGAAAAAAAAAAAGGAAGGTGCAAGGGAGGAGAGGCAGGTCCAGTGAGCTGGGGCCATAGGTCAAAGGAAGGGAGGGTGAGCCTGCCTTTAGGGGAGACTTGTATTTAGCACAGTGGAGGCTGGGGCAGAGTAGGTTGGGGGTGAAAACGCAAACGCCACAGGGCCTCTTCAGGTAACGAATGAGAGTCTAAGGGAGCAGCTGTCCATTATTGCTGAGCAGAGATGTGGACATGGGGTTAACAACTCTTCTGATTCTTCAGGAGAAGTCGAATTCAGATTTTATGTGAAAGACCCCAAATTTTCTATACTGGACCAATTAATCGCCCCTCCTCCCCACACACACAAAATATGGGACAGGTCAAACCAAACAGTATTCCTGGACAGTATTTGGTTTGTAAGCCACCATATTTTAACCTCTACTAAGTGATAAAAAAACGCTTATAGGAAAACCAATAACTTGTCGGTTGATGCATGGGGATCAGGAGGCCCGGGTTCTAGTACCAGTCCTGCTATTCTTTGCTTTGCGACCCTGAGCAGATTCACCTCTGAGCCTCCTCTATCTGTAAAATATGGAGGTGGGACTAGGTGACCTGGAAAGGCCCTTCTAATTCTGATGTTCTGTAGTTTCAGGTGGAAGGTGGAGGGCCTCAGAGACCAACTGTGAGTTAGGCGGGACTTAGAATCTGACAGGAAGAGGGCAGAGACAACACGTTCGAAAGAGTCAGGGCTCCTGGGACCTGGGACCCCAGGATCTGAGGGTGTTGAGGAACAGGAGCAGGAACCAGTAGTGGGAGTGGAGTCTGTGTATGGTCCTGGAGGGAGGAGCTGGTGGAGGGGCTTGCACTTTGGTGGGGGGGATGTTGAGGGGCTTACCACCAGGATACCGCCGCAGGATAAGCTTTCGGACCTCGTCATAGATGAAGATGAGGAGGCTATAGGGGAAGGCGCAGAACCACCAGGTGACTCTGAAAGCAATGGAGGAGAGTGTCAGGAGCATCAGAGGTCGGCTTGGCGGCCATCACATAAAGGAGTATTCAAACCGATCAGAACTTGGATCCTGGAGGAGGCTGAAGGCCCCCTATATGACTACTCAGGCTGCCCGAAAGAGACACTCACTTGAGCGGGTACATGCGGAGGGCTACACCCATGCCTGGGCAGTAAGAGAGAAAGGCAGCCAACGCCGTCTCCTCCAGGAGCCCAAAAATCAGGATCTTGTTCCTGAAAGGCAAAGAAAGGAGGGTAGCAGGTGAAGGGGGATCAAGGAGGCAGAGATCCTGGGATACCCCTGGGGTGCAAGGGAAAGATGAGAGAGAATTCTAAATGACATAGTCCCATGTCTTCTTCCAACATCCTCTTCTCACGCTTTATGTAACCAAAGGAAGATGTTATTTGTTTTTCTGCTTACTGAGTTTACCTCCGAATGTTGTCTATTGCACGTATATTCATTCATTAAATAATTGTTTCTAGGTGTTGGGTGATGTGTTCTGTACTGGAGACACAGTGGTCAACATGGGGCCTGTCTCATGATCTTGTTATTGCTCCAGGCATAGGGCCCGTGAAATTGTCGTCTCCCGAGCAAGATGCTTGAAAGCTCCTTCAGTGCAGGGCCCATGTATGTCTTCTACCGTCTCAGCATCTCCCACAGTTCCTGGTGGTGGTTTCATCATAGATATTGAATTCAGAGAATGTAAAGGGGATGCTCACTGCATAATAAGTGGTTAATATATGTTCACTGGATCAGAATTGAAAAGCAGGATAGAATAAGGAGGTTCTGAGGGCAGTTTCTGCAGTCAGACAGGTGGTATCTATTACCAGTTCTGCCATTGACTAGTTTTGGGTTGCAGGCAATGTTGAATTTCTCTGAGCCTCACGTTCCTTCTCTATAAAATGGAGATTTTACATTTTTATCATAGGGTTGCTGGGAAGATTAAGGGAGATAACACGTGAAAAGCTCTGAAACATGGAAAATGTTAGTCATATTGTTATTCCACTTTTTTTTTTTTTTTTTTTTTGAGACAGAGTCTTACTCTGTTGCCCAGGCTGCACAATCACAGCTCACTGTAACCCCCACCTCCTGGGCTCAAGTGATCCTCTTGCCTCAGCCTCTCCAGTAGCTGGAATTACAGGTGTGCGCCACCATGCCCTGCTAATTTTTGTATTTTTTTGTAGAGATAGAGTTTCACCATGCGCCCAGGCTAGTACCAAACTCTTGGGCTCAAGTGATTCTCCTGTCTTGGCCTCCCAAAGTGCTGGGATTACAGGTGTGAACCACTGTGCCCTGCTGCTTCATCTTTTGTATTCTTACACAAGGTACCTCTTTTTGGTTCAGGCCAGTGATTTCCAAATTTTCACTCACTAAAGACCTCCTTATTTTCTTCTGTAAAGGCCACATTTAATTGTTTGTCTCTCAAGCTACATTTGTGAATAAGTATTGAATACATTTTCCCATTTAAAATTAATTGGAACTATCCATGGCTTCCAAACAGAACTGTGGATCAGCATTCGATCACTACTTCATGATATGTGCTCTTGGCTTTTGCCTAAGAATGGCACATTAGTAAGCCTGGTTGCCTTCTCATAGGTGGGTGCTTTATTTTCATAAATCTTTTCAAAATAAGGCAAATAGTATCTCTGAGGATCCCCAGTGGCCCAGGGACCTAAGGTGAGGCCTGCAGTGGTATTAGTACTCTTCCTCTGTACCCAGCCAGACTTTCATTTGCTATTTTTCCCATCTGCCTCTAAGATGGGCTGGATATAGCCAGTGTGGCCACGTTCGCATCTTCCTGTGTTGTCCACGCAGTGCATAGCAAGTCCCAGGTTCCAGAACTGTACCCAATTTCTTAAGAATCTCTGCTCCTTGTTCTCTTCAAACTGCATTTTTTCCCATTAGTATTTTTAGCTTACTGGAATCTCCTTCCTTCATATTACCTTTATTTATCTAACAGGCTTTTCACTTTGTTCTCCCTTGGACCTTAAGTGTTATTAACTTCACTTTGGCATCTTCTCCCCACCCTCCCCAGCCCCAAACTAAGAAACTGTGACAAACTCATGTGAAGAATTGTGGCCATTGTTTATGGTAGGAGAAAATAAAAGAAACCAGCATGAAACCTTCAGCGCTCAACCACCACTCATGCTAGAATCACAGTCATTATTGAGTTCCAAACAGTGCCAGATGGTGTGAGCACAGAAATGTTGGGTAGTAGCCAGGGCTGGGCTTTAGAGACAGGTCTGGTGAACCCTTACCATCTTGGTGACCTTGGACACATCATTTAACCTTTCTGGGGCCTCTTATTCATGAAATGTAAACAGTAATACCCACCTCATAGAGCTATTGTGAGGCTAAACAATGTGTTAGGCACTTAGCACAGTGCCTGGCACGTTGTAACTCACACTGCAAGAAGGCACTGAACTGGATCCTCAGCAGCGTGTGGCCTCCAGAACCACAGTGCAAGTGCTATAAACTAGGCTGCCTGCGGAAAGCCAGGGGTGGGCATAAAAGACACTGAATTTGGGGATGGGCAAAGGATAGGAACAGGTGGCACTCAAGTAGGAGATGGGGGAAAGGAGGGAGGGGGGAAGGAGGAGGGGAGAGAAGGAAGGTGGAGAGAGACGATAACAAAATGCAAAATTAGGAGCTTGAAGCATGGCTTCTCTCTTCCATATGAAGCCTATCTATGGATATACAGATGGAAGATTAAAATCTGACGCCCTCCTTACAACTCTGGGCCAGGGCTGAGTGGGAAGCCTGGCCTGTGTGGGTTGGTGAGTGTGCCCGGAGCCGGGGTGGGCAGGTGCCATGGGGCGGGCACTCACTTCATGCCCTGCTGGAAGACTGAGTTGCGGCGGGTCTTGCAGATGATGAGGTCAGCCCACTGCACCACCACGATGCTGGCAAAGAATGCTGTGTGGCACGTGAACTCCACCACCTTCCGCTGCTCATAGGTCTGGAGGGAGGGTGGGCAGAGAGAGATGAAAGTGTCGGAGGAAAGGGTAAGACCAGAAGATAACAAGGTTTCTCCTGATCCACCCCTAGCCCCAGTCCCTATTGGCCACTACTGGCCACTCCTGCCAGGCATTCAGCTCCCCACACCTTCAAACATGTGCACTGCACTTACACAGTGTCACTCACCCACTCCTGTCCATAGCTGTCCTCCAGATCGTTCATGGTCCGGTCATCCCAGTCGAGGCGGATTCCCAGTAGCCGTGATGGCAGGAAACCGTTCTCTGCCAGGATCACAAAGTAGGTGAAGAAGCCACCCAGTGCCTGGATCATCCCTGTGGGTAGAGGGGCAAAGGCAGGGGCAGGGTCAGAGCAGGAAGCAGAAGGGGCACAGCCCCTCAGGGCCAGAGATGGAGGTCCCTGACCCTTGGGTAGCTGGCCCCTGTCCTGGAATTTTGCTTGGGGCTCATTCCTCTGAAAGCTGGGAAAAGAATCCTGTTGGGGTTCCCTCCTGAGCCCCAGGGCTTGGCGCACCGATCTGTCCATAGGCCATGCTGATGAGCCTCTCATTCACCAGCTTGTCTGTCTGGGAGTTTCGCGGCTGCCGCTTCATGATGTCACTCTCAGCTGCCTCATAGGCCAAGGAGATGGCAGGAACCTGTGTGAGGTAGGAAGTGGGGCAGGGAGGGCATTTGAAGGGGTGTAGGAGATGACAGGAGCAATTGATCTTCGACAGTGAAGATCTTTGACACAGTTAAAAAAGCATGTATTCAGGCCCCATTGTCTTCTAGGCCTGTGCGTGTCTCCTGTAACCCCCACAGCTGGGGCCGCTGCCCCAGTACACCCCTTCCCCCTGCCACTGTGCCATCATGATTGCCTTGCCTGTCCCTTCCTCCACCACCTGTGCTCACCATATCCGTGCCCAGGTCAATGCAGAGGATGGTCACAGTGCCCAGAGGCAGGGGGATGTTGGCAATGATGAACAGCAGGAAGGGGGTGATCTCCGGGATGTTGCTGGTCAGGGTGTAGGCGATGGATTTCTTCAAGTTGTCAAAGATCAGGCGGCCTGTGGGGAGATTCTGAGGGCATCAGGGAGGTCAGAGGGACTCTTCCCCACCCCCAGCCCCTGAAGCATGGCTGCCAGTCTTCCCAAGAGAGGAAGATTTTGTGTTTGAGGGAAGCTAAAGAAGGCTGGGCTGCCTAGAGTCATGGAATGATTCTTCAACTGGGGTAAAGGGACGGGGAACAGAGGTGCTGGCTTCAGTATCCTGCGAACCACCCCAGCCTATGCAACCTCCTCACCCTCCTCCACCCCCGTAACGATGGAGGCAAAGTTGTCGTCCAGCAGGATCATGTCGGCTGCCTGCTTAGAGACGTCAGAGCCAGAGATGCCCATGGCAATGCCAATGTCAGCCTTCTTCAGCGCAGGGGAGTCGTTCACCCCGTCACCCGTCACGGCCACAATGGCTCCCTGGAGGGAAGACAGCCAGCACTTGAGGACGAAACCCCTGTCTAAGCCTGGCCCCTCACCCCTCACTCCATGTTTATCTTGGCCCTGTCCCTGCCTCCCGGGTTCCTGCCTGTCATCTGCCTCCCATGGCTGTGCTCACCTGCCTCTGACATCCCTCCACAATAATGAGCTTCTGCTGGGGAGACGTCCGAGCAAAGACAATCTCCGTGTGGTTCTTGAGGATCTCATCGAGCTGCTCCGATGTCATGTCCTTCAGGTCAGAGCCGTGCACCACGCACGCCTTGGCTTCTCTGGAGGGTGGGTGGGGGCAGGGACAGCTGACCCCTGGCACCTGTACCAGCCCCTCCTGCCCCCTGCCTCTCCTCACCACCACGGCCTGCAAGCTCCCTGCTGAGCCTGCTTCCTCTGTTGCTTCAGTTCTCCTTTCCTCAGTACTCACTTTCCCCATTTCTCTTTGAGGATGGGACTCTAAATCCTCACCATGGGATCATCGCAGTCGTAAGTGCAGTTTGCTAGGCCCTGGGCTAGTTTCTTTACTCACATCCCACTCCTACAGCAATGGAGATGGCATCCTAATTTTGTGGTGAGAAAATGGAGGCTCAGGATGGGAATGTGACATCCCCAAGGTTACATGGGAATTCAGTGGCACAGCCTGGACACAAGCTCAGGGCTGAGGAACCAGTCACAGTAGTGTCAGAGGTAAGACCTATAAAGGTTCCAGAAATGCTGTCCAAATACCCCCAGGGGACACCCAAGCCTTCTGTGCAAGAGGACGTGTTGATAGGGGGAGCAGGGGCTTCCTGCAGAGGCCTCACCTGGGGTTGACTTGACTCACGGGAATGTTGAGCCGGGCTGCAATGTCCTCCACGGTCTCGTTACCCTCTGATATGATGCCCACACCTTTGGCAATGGCCTTAGCTGTGATAGGGTGATCCCCGGTTACCATGATCACCTAGTGGGAAGGAGAGGAGACAAAAGGAAAGCAGTATTAAGAGTTTATCCCCCTCCTATTCCTCTCCCAAAGTAAGAGAAAGCTAGATAGTGAGTTGTCTGGGGCTGGCAGATCCCAGCCCCGAAATAATGGCGTGTGTGTGTGTTGGGGGGGCAGGGCTGTGTGTATGTGTGTGTGTGTGTGTGTGTGTGTGTGTGTGGGACGTGTGTTTGTGGGTGGGGGGTGGGGATTGTTTGTGTGTGGGGGGAAGGGGGTGTGTGTGTGTATATGTAGGGTGGGGATTCGTGTGTGTGTGTGTGTGTGTGTGTGCAAATTTGGGTGGGTGGGTGAGGAAGAAAGATAATGGCAAGTTGTGTTATGTTCAGAGGGTTAGAGAGAGATAGTTTGCTTAAGTGCAGGAAAGTATCCATAACAGAGTAACAAGTTCATGAGGATCCCCTGAAAGAGAAGCCTCAAATCTTTGGGATTATTTAGGAGATTATTTTAGAGTTTGGATTTCATGGGCTTCAAGGCAGTCGGAGCTGGAAGGACCCTTGAACAACTCCTTTGTTTTACACATGAGGAAACCAAGACTTAGAGAGGGCCTACAATTTGCTCAAATACACAGGGGCTTGGAAATAGGACATGAGGTTCTTAGTGTGAAATACTGATCACTGCAGCAATGTAATGGACAGAATAGGAATAAGATGGAGACAACACCCCTACCTCCACCTCCTCTGACATCTTCCCTGGTGTAAGGCACAGTTGTGGTCCCTGCCTTCACCATAATGTTCATTGCTATTGTTGCAGAGTGAATGGAGTTGGGTTGGGGAGGGTGGCTGGCATCTGACGGGTTAAGCGGCTATTCTAAACATGAGGTGAGCAGAGTTGGGTTAGGATAACATTTGCATGTGTGGGCTTGTGGGGCAAGTCCCATGAATACTGAAAAGGAAGCCTCTATAGTCCCTGCTGCCTTCTCTTCTGCTCCCACCACTTCACTGAAACTGCCACCCAAAGGCCAAATGGGCCCCTCAATTGAAAAATGAAAGTGGCTTTGCTGTCCTCATCCTACTTGACCCCTCTGAGGCATTTGACACTGTTGACCTCCTCTCCTTGAAACCCTGCCCTCCCTGGCTTCCACACACTCCTCCATTTCTGATTTCCCTCCACTCCTCTGCATGCTCTTTCCCAGCTTCTCAGGGCAGCCGCCTAGTAGGATGGAAGAAGCAGCGGCTTTGGAGTTGAATGAGGGGCTCAAGTTTAAACACTGACCTTCTCCAGCTACAGTACCTCAGGCAAGTCAAGCACTGAGGTCTCAGCACAATTCAGAGATGATTCCTGCCTTCCCAGGTGGTCATGAAGATTAAATGGCATTGGTCCTACCACCCTCTCCCCTCCTCACTGGTTCCTCTTGCCCCTAAATATTGGTTTGGCACAGGGTTTCATTCTTCTCCCTTCACTTGACCTGTCTGCTCTTCCTGGGCAATATAATAAAATATACTATAAGCCTTTAGTTTGCACCCTTGCGCTAATGAGATTCAAATCTCCAGTCCTGACTGTCTTTCATGAGCTCTAAGCCATACTCCAATGTTCGCTGGAACATCTGTCTCTCCTGGGCTATCTTATAGACTCTTCAAGCTTAAAGTCAACATTGAACTCCTTTTCTCTACTCCCCCCACCCCACCAAGCCTGCAACTGCTCCCTACCTTAGATGTTGCCCTATCTAATTATCCTGTGCCCTTCTCTCCTGTATCTTCCTCACCTTCCATATCCAGTTTGATCACCAAGTTCTTAAAACATTTCTCAAACATGGCTATTCCTCTCCACTCCCTTTGTTGCTGCCCTAGTTCAGGTCATCATTCCTTGCCTGAACTACGGCAATGGCCTGTTAACCTGTCTCTCCCTGACTCCAGTTCTTCCCCAGATTCAGTCCCTCCTCAACCCAGGTAGTCTCCTAAAAGTTCAGCCTCCCCCGTGACACTGGTGGCTCTCTGTGGCCTGCAGGATAAAGCCCAAGTCTGGCATTTAAGCCAAGTCCTTCCAACTGGCTCTGACCCAACGTTCCAGTCTCAACCCCCAGTGCTCCTTGCCACCTCTCCCCTGCCAAGCCCTACACACGCCCCATACAGTCTAGTCACGCCAGGGTACGCACTGTTCTCTGATCTTGACGTGCCTTCCTCTCCCTCGCTGCCTTGCAGAATACTCTGACCTCCAAAGCCCAGCTCAAATATCATTCCCTTTGTCAAACATCGTCCAGTTCTCTGAGGCAGAATTAATACCTCCCTTAGCTGATTTCCCGTAGAGGTCCTCTGCTCAGGCCTCCGTGATGGTTTTGATCACAGAAAGAGGCACTGGCCAAGCAGCAGGAGCTCAGGCTCTCCGGTCAAGCTGACCACGCTTCATCTGTCTCTTATACACATCTAGATGTGTATAAGAGACAGGTCTCAATCTCCTGACCTCGTGATCCGCCCGTCTCGGCCTCCCAAAGTGCTGGGATTACAGGCTTGAGCCACCGAGCCCGGCCTGCCTTGTTTTACTCTTAACAGGGATAATGATGCCTGCCTTGGAGACAGAGTGGTTATGGGGTTCAGAAACCACATATACATACAGCCCCAAGTCTCCTGGTGTGATAGTTAAGAAATAGCAGATTGCCTTGGTTCAAGTACTGGCTCTATGACTTACACCAGCTGTGTGGCCTTGGCATTTTACTTTGTGCCTCAGTTTCCTTCTCTGTAAAAAAGGAAAAATACTAGTGCTTATTCCCAGGGTTGTTGTGTAGATTAAATGAAATCATACAGGTTTAGTGCTTAGAATAGTGCATGATTTATATGCATCCTCTCTGGCACAGTACCCACAGAACCTGGATCCATCTGGATGTGTCATGTGACACAAATTGTTTACTGTGTATCAGACACTGTGCAAGGTGCTAGAGTTTGCACCTTGCACAGTGTCTGATACAGAGTAAATAATAAATATTTGTTGAACGAACAACAAACATAGCACAAAGGAGGGAGTTGTCAATGAGAAGCAATTGCAGTTGAACAAGAGAACCTTGAGTTGGAGGCATTCTGTGGGGTTATGGGCTGAGCCACTGGGAGCATACAAGAGCCTGCTAATCCCATCCTAAGTTGACAGAGAGGGTGGGCAGTAGCTGGGAAGAGTAGGACAACTAGGTCTTCAAAATAGGAGTGACAGATTGTGCTTCAAATCAGAATGGAAGGATGCACATGCAGATGGGACAATGAGCTGTTCCAGGGAGGGAGAGGAGGGGCATGGAACAATGGCCTCTCTGAGCAGCCTCTATGGGCAAAAGGGATGAGGGTGAGTGCTCCAAGGCAGGGGTGGGCCCTTCCTTGCAGATGGACAGCTTCTTCTACAAGTCAGTGGGAAGGAGGTCACTGTGGCCTGGGCCTCCCCAGGGCAGCAGCCACTGCAGCTCCTTGACCTCTGGCATGAGGGAGGCTAGGATGGAGGGGAGGAAGGGAGGCCAGTACCTTGATGCCTGCGCTTCGGCACTTGCCCACAGCATCTGGCACAGCAGCCCGGGGAGGGTCAATCATAGACATGAGCCCCACAAAGCAAAGCTTCTCCGTGGGAAAGTTCAGCTCATCCGTGTCGAATTTGAAGCCCCGAGGAAACTTTCCAGATGGCAGATTCAGTTGACAGAACCCTGAAAGGGGGCAAAAGGGAGCAGTGAGAGCCACAGAATGGCTTCCTGGACGCCCCCACAGTCCCTCATCCCAGGGATGCTGCAGAGGCTTGGGAATCCCCTTCTGGGCCTCCTGTTTCTGGCCTCTCACCCAGCACACGCTCCCCCAGTCCCCCCAGCTCCATGTAGGCATTTTGAAAGGCGTCTTGCATCTCCTTGTCGAGTGGGATCTCCTTGCCCTGCACCAGGATGGTGGAGCACCGGTCCAGGATGCGCTCTGGGGCCCCCTTCATCACTAGCACGTGGCTCTGGGGGCTGTCCTCTCGCTCGTGGATGGACAGCTGGAGAGACGACAGGCAGTTACAGAGATGGCCATGCTTGTCTTGGTAGCGCGGCATAAAGCAGCAGCTGGTAAGGAAACCACCTTAGTAAAGTAACCCGGATCCATCCAAGATTGTCAACAAAGAGAATCTCCTTGTGCAGGGAGGTGTTTTGACCTCATAGTTCCAACACTTGTAACCTGAGAGCCACTTCCGTAAGACAGTCATTCATTCAACAAATATTTATTGAGGTCAGTTTAAGACAGGCACTGTGGTAGGGGCTGGACGGCTCCCTCCTCAGCATCCCCAACACCACCTGGCGTCAGGGGGCTTTACCTCTATGGATCATGTGGAATGCTGAGATTACATTCTTGGCCTAAAGGCTAAGGGGCACCATAAAGGAATTACAGAATTATGGTTTCACTGACTGGGGTAGAAGAGTTGGAAGGCTAGGCCAGAGGATGGGGAGCTATGGGAAGAAGAGTTGAGAGAGTGACAGATTGTAGTAAGGGATGGAGTAAAGTTTGGGAGCTGGGTCTGCTTGCAACCAGACATGCAGTCATAGGAGCTGTCCTGGGGAGATTGGCAGGGGGAGGGAACGTGACCTTCAGACACCCCCACTCCTCCTAGTGATGATTCCCCTTGGCTTTGTCTACCCTCACCTATTTCTATCCCTCTCTCTTCCTCTGTCCTGGCAACCCAAGCAGACCTGGTACTTGTTGGTCGAGTTGAAAGGAATCTCTGCCACCTTGGGGTTTCTGTCTCTCATCTTCCTCACTGAGCCACAGGACAGCTCGATGCACTTGAGCAGAGCTGACTCGGAGGCGTCGCCAGCTGTATCCCGCTGCCAGAAGAGACCAGAATTCAGTGTCAGCGTGGGAGGGAAGGGAGTGGAGGATCAGGTGAAGAGGGCACTGAAATCCCTAACGCAGCCACAGCATGTGAGAAGGAAAGCTGGGGCCAGCAAGAGGTCTTTGGAGACATCCCCAAAACACACCTATTGTGTGTCCTGATCTCCTACCTTAGACACAGAGATGTTCTCCTGTCCTGCCTTGAAGACGGCACGGTTGCAGAGACCAGCAATTCGAGACAGGGCTGTCCAAGTCGGGGATCGTTTGTCAAAAGTGGCCCCTGGGAGAAAATGAGGGAGAACCAGGAGCATGGCTCCCTTTAGAGCCTTTATCTCACCCACCCACCCCGCCATGCCACTGCTCTCAGCGTCCTCTAATGCTCTCCACTCCCTCTGGAGCACCCAATCACCAGACTGATCTTCGGTGGTGTCGGCCTCATGGATTTGGTTGTCGAACCACATGTGGGCGACGGTCATGCGGTTCTGGGTGAGGGTGCCCGTCTTGTCCGAGCAGATGGTGGACGTGGAGCCCAGCGTCTCCACTGCCTCCAGGTTCTTCACCAGGCAGTTCTTCCGCGCCATGCGCTTGGCTGTCAGGGTGAGGCACACCTGGTAGAGAAAGAAGAGAATAAAAAAGGTTAAGGCCGGAGCCAGAGATGGCCATAACCTTACCCTAGACCGTGGCTCCATTCCTCCTCCCTTGATTCTACTCCACTAACTTGAATGGGTGGGACTTAGCTATAAATAATGAATGTTCAATTTTAGATGTGTTGAGATCATGAGTATCTATTAAGATGAAATGCCCATTAGGGAGTTTAAGACATCTGGCTAGAGCTCCAGAGAGGGCCAGAGCAGAGCTGGGCAAAGGGATGTCCGAGTCATCCACACAGAAGGGACACTGGAAACTGGGAGGAGATTGGCTCTCGCTCAGGGCGTAGGAAGAACAGAGAGCTGAGGCCTGAGAATCACTATAAGGGGAGCAGGAAGGGACAGAGGAGAAGCGAACCGGGATAGTGACACATCACAGCAATCGACAAAAGAGAGAATGCTAGGAGGGTGGACAGCAGTATCTGTTTCAGCAGCAGAGTTAGGGAGGAGAGCTGAGAAAAGGTCACTGGATTTGCTGGTTAGTGACCAGTGACCTTTGAGACAGCATCTACAGGAGACTTGGCCGGAATGAGACCCATACTGCTGGCAGATCGTGAGAAAAGGTAACCGTGACAAGCTCAAAAAAAGAGAAATTGAGTACCCAAGTATAGCCCCACCTGAGATTTCTCAACTCAAACTCTGAGCCATGTATTAAGTGATCTCTGAGTATCGCATCCAATATGTGACTCTAGGGGGAAAAAGTACTGAGAAGCTACAAGCAACTGTGCCTCTATCACTTTGAGGAAAGAGTAGTGGGACCCTCCCCTGATGGCACCTCAGCCTGACCCACTCACAGTGACAGTGGCCAGAAGCCCCTCGGGCACATTGGCCACAATGATGCCGATGAGGAAGATGACTGCCTCCAGCCAGCTGTAGCCCAGGATGAGGGAGAGCACGAAGAAGGAGACCCCCAGGAATACAGCGACCCCTGTGATCAGCTGGATGAAGTGTTCAATCTCCATGGCTATGGGCGTCCGCCCAACCTCTAGGCCTGAGGCGAGAGTGGCTATGCGGCCCATCACGGTCCGGTCGCCTGTGGCAATCACAATGCCCCTGGCAGTGCCTGCAACATGGTAGGACATCAGGTTGGGTGCCTTGTGGCTCCCAGGGACTGCAGTCCCATCCTATTTACTGATCAAGGAAAACCATCACAGGGTAGATGAACCCAAGCCGCAGATCTGGAGGCCACTTTCAGTAGATTGTCCCCACTTGACCTTCCTTTCCCTGGATAGATCGCCAATCCCAGAATCAATACAATAGCAAATTATTTTCTCTTGTACTTGAGCCTGGGGAGAAGCTTGCAAATAATCTCAAAGGTCAAATAGAGGAAATTCAATAAATAAAAATTGCCTGTGGCATTTTGGTAAAATCAATCCCATACTTGATACCATCCAAAAGTGTATTATGAACACAAAGTAAAGTACTCATTATGGATTTTCCAATCAGTCTTAAGATTTTTCTTTCTCAACATTAGGCATGAATCTCTATAGAGGAAGTCAGGCAATTGCTAACCCTTGTGTGACATCACAGGGGTCTTCCAGGAAGGAAGGGTGGTGTATTGAAGAAAGCAGGCACATTGGAGCCAGCCAAATTTGGGTTTGAATCCTTGCTTGAATTCCTATCTCGGTGTTGTTTTAATATTTAGATGAGATCATGCTCCAATATACTTAGACCAGTGCCTGGAACATAGTGGGTGCCCAACAAATATCTCATTTATTTCCTTTCTGCTTTTCAAAGCCAATCGCAGAGTAAGCAATAGGAATATATTACTAGGCATTTCTGAATAAATCAATTGTGGGAAATGTAAATTTCAAAATCTCAGTGCATTAAAAATTTAGGAAATTTGGCCAGGCTCAGTGGCTCATGCCTGTAATCCCAACACTTTGGGAGACTGAGGTAGGAGGATCACTTGAGCCCAGGAGTTTGAGGTCAGCCTGGGTAACATAGTGAGACCCCATATCTAACATATATATATATATATATATATATGTTAGCTGGGTGTGGTGTTACACGCCTGTAGTCCCAACTACTCTGGAGGCTGAGGTGGGAGATCGCTTGAGCCTGGGAGGTCAAGGCTGCAGTGAGCTGCGATCGCACCACTGCACTCCAGTCTGGGTGACAAAGCAAGATCCTGTCTCAAAAGCAAAACAAAAAAAAAACTTAGGAAATGTAATGTGTGGTGATTTTGATTTGTACAGTTGGCTCTCCGTATTCACAGATTCCACGTTCACAGATTCAACCAATCTCAGATGGAAAATATTTGGAGCTAAATAAAAATAACAATGCAACAATAAATAATACAAATTTAAAATGAAAGCAGTATAAAAATTTCATTGCACTCAGTATTATAAGTAATCTAGAGGTGATTTAAAGTATATGGGAGGATGTGCGCAGGTCATATGCAAATATTATGCCATTTCATATCAGGGGCTTGAGCATCCTCGGATTTTGGTAACCAAGGGGGTCCTGGAACCAATCCCTCGTGGATTCCAGGCAGTGACTGTGGTTCCAACTTGTGGAAGGAGGGAAAAAAAAATCCAGACAAACATAATATACTGAGGAGAAATGAGTAATGGATAGGGGAAGTGTGGATTGGGATATGAGGCCTCCTTTGCCCTATTTTCAGAGGCCATTGGTCTACTGAGGCCTCTTTCTGTCTTTTTCCTCCTACTCCTTCTCTGAGTCAGCCCTGACTCTGCTCACTGGCTTGACCACAGAGGACACAGGTTTCAGTTGTGCTTGGACCCCTGCCGTTAAGTGATGGCAGCTCTGGGAGTTCTTATTGACCTTTGTTTATCTCTAGAACCCAGAACAGGGATGGGGCAAACTGGATAGTCTGTGCATGGTGAAACATGTCTTTTGGTGTAACAAAGGTTTAGAAGCAGCCTGAAGTAGGGCCCAAGTGGTCACCAGGCTGGAATGCCTTCCTGGCACTCCCACACCCTGGGGCTCTGGTCAAAGCAAAGGTTAGAGAAGGAGGAAGCTAGGCCCAGAACCACAAGGAATCGAAGCATCAAGCAAATCCAAAGACTCCTAAGAATCCAGGTTGGTTCTGAGTGTATGTGCATCTGTGTGTGCGCATGTGTAAGGGATTCTTAACCCGATACCTGAAAGCTTTGGAATCCACTCAGTCCTTGGGGTGGACAGAACAGAGATCTCCCTGGGGAAGGGAGACATATTTCCCATGGAGTCAGGCTGCCCCCAGCCAGTACCCTGCTTTCTGGAGGGTGTTTCCATAATATTCAGGGCCCCCTGACTCCTCAATTGCGCCACCAATGGCAGAGCTTTTGCCAGATAAGTACTACCAGAGCCCTTCCTCCTGACCGTGGATTTAGGATTCAGACTCTTTCCTACGGGGTGCAAGCTGGCTTCTCACCTTCAACACAGTTGGTGGAGAAGAAACAGATATTGCGGGTTTCCAGGGGGTTCTCATGGGTGAACTCAGGGGAGCGGGTCTGAGGCTCCGACTCTCCTGTTAGGGATGAGTTATCCACCTGAGGAGGAAGGGGTGCATAGTCATCAGACTGGCAGAGCCACTTGTATGCACACAGCTGTCTCCTGAACCACCTCCAACCACATTCAATCTTCATGACATGAGGAACAAAGTTACACTTGCCCTCATCACATATTTATGGCATTACTCATCTATTGCCCCTTCTCTGGTTTGGAATTCTGACTCCTCCTGACTTCTTATGTGACCTTAGGTTACTTGCTTAACCAACAGAACCTCCACGTACGCAACTGTAAAATGGGGAATGTAAACAGAATCGCTGCCTTGCACAACCACAGGGGGAGCCACTAACTGAAGTTTATGAAAATGCACCTCCTGGGGTCATTCAGAATGCAACGTGTGTGGCCACATGCAGCAGCCCTGCATGATTATACCACCCTTTCAGAATCACATCAGATAGCACATGTGAACATATATAAAGCAGCTGACACATAATTGGTACTCATTACATGATTGCTAAAAAGTGGACAACAAAGAAATACCTGGGGCATAAAGCACTTGTAACACACAGATGCAAGGAGGCACTGCACAAGCCCCCCACACTGAGAGAAGGTTTAACAGGGGCATAGGCAAGGTGTTGACATTTGGACCTGGGTCTCTCCACCTTTAAACCTCACTGGGCCCCTCTCAGCTGTGCACACAGCCTGCTCCTTAGACTCAAGTGCTTGCTCCGGTATGACCTCCTCACCTTACAGCCATGAGAAGAGATGATCCGGAGGTCAGCAGGGACGCGGTCTCCGCCCTTCACCTCCACCAGGTCTCCCACCACCACTTCCTCTGCATTGATCTGAATCTTCTCTCCCTCCCGGATCACAAGGGCTTGCTGTGGGGAGCCACAGGCAGCACATGAAATGCTTGTCTCTGCCCCTGCCTTATTCTCCTGCTGGCCTCCCCCTCCCCGCCAAGCAGAAGGATAAGCCCCATGAAAAATTAGGGGCTGGCATGGAAAGTTGGAGGATCTTTTCTGGCAATCTCTATCTTAGAGCACAGGAGTTGACAGAAGATGAGCTGGACTCTTGCCAAAACTTTACACCCTAGCCCAGAGCCCAGCCCTGCCATCTTACCTGAGGTACCATGTTCTTGAAGGAATCCATGATCTTGGAGCTTTTGGCCTCCTGGTAGTAGGAGAAGCAGCCAGTGACAATGACCACAGCTGCCAGCACCACACCCAGATATAGCTGGTAAGGAGAAAGAGTTTCAGGGACCTGACCTTCCCCCCAACCCTAAAGGGGCAGCTGCCACTTGGGATGAGCAGGCAGTGCCATCCAAGATGAGAGCCCATACCTTTGTCTGTGACTGAGAGTGATGATGGTAGAGGAAAGCCCTTCTCACTAACCTCCCCCTTGATCTGCCAACCTCAAGCCCTGCTAAGACTAGAAGCAGGAGAGAAAGTCTTAGGATGTTCCCAGGGTTGGGACTTTGCTAGCGGATGAAGACCCAGGCATACAGACAGGCTCCCTTAAGTGAGGAGGAACAGGGAGAGATCGTTTCATTAATTAATGAGTATGTGAATGTGCGTGTGCTGTGTGGGGGGAGTGCTTTACAAATACGTATAGAAGCCTCACCCCTTTCCAGCCTAAGGTGCAGGGGCATCTGTAGGACTGTGATGTGAGGGCCTTGTTCCCTGCCCACCCCCCAACTATGTTGGGGATTCAGGATTAGAGGACAATCACGGGCTGTTCCAGGGCCCAGGCGTGTGGGCTCACATTGTCGTTGGATGGTTCATCCTCCATGGCAGCCTGGATGCCGTAGGCCAGGAAGCAGAGGATGGCCCCAATCCACAGCAGGATGGAGAACCCTCCGAAAAGCTGACGGCAGAACTTGACCCACTCAGGGGTTGTGGGAGGTGGCGTTAGGGCATTGGGCCCATCTCGAGCCAGAATGTCCTGAGCCCGCTGGTTGGTGAGGCCCTGAGGGAGCAAGGAAAGGCATAGGGGCACGCATCCGGAGCAATCCAGCCCCTCACCATGCCCATCCCTTCAGCTCCCGGGCATGGGAAGAATGCCCAGGTGGAAAGTCCCACCTGGTTGGAAGGGGTGGGGGACCATCAGGAGAGACTACATGGAGGAGGTGGCATTTGTGATGCAACTTGGAGGGCTTGAGGGCTGAGAAGGGTTTGACTGGGCTCCACCCCTAATTTTATTGGATTGAGACAACACCTATGGTTAGGACCATAACATCTCCCCTGGAGGCAGTCTGGATAAGCTTCCTGGAAAGACACCTCAATTGTTTTTTCCCCCATCTCTCTTCCTTCAGATTGTTTTATCAAGGATTCTAGGAGAGTCCTAGATTTTTTTTAAGAGATGGGTTCTTGCTGTGTTGCCCAGGCTGGAGTGCAGTGGTGCAGTTATAGCTCACTGCAGCCTCGAACACTGGGCTTAAGCAATCCTTCCACCTCAGCCTCTCAAGTAGCTGGGACTACAGGTGGGCACTTCCACACCCTGGTGTGTGTCAGTGTCACACAACTTTGGCAATCACCTGACACTTTCCACAGAAAGCCTCGCCTGGCCCTATTCCCTCAGCCCCGGGCTGGTTCAGATGCTTCTTTCTGGTTCCCCATGGTGTTCTATACTTGATTCTAGAGCTGCACTCACCATATTGTGTTGGAATCCTATGACTGCATTTTTTCTGCTACTAGACTTTGAGCTCCTTTAAAGCAGGGACCATTTCTTTCTTTTTTTTTTTTTTCATTCATTCATTCATTCATTTAATAAATGTGTATCCACTGCCGGGCACAATTGTCACCCTGGGGATGCAGAGATGGACAAGACCAACAAAGTCCCTGCCCTTGAGGAGCTTATGATCTGGAGAGGTGACACACAATAAACAAATATATTAGTGCCAGATAGTGAAAAGCGTTACTAAGGAAAATAAAGTAAGGTAAAGGAATAGGGGCATAGAATTTTAGACAGAGCAGGCAGGGAAGGCCCATAAAGGAGATATACATCCACTAAATTTTTGTTTGTTTGTTTTGTTTGTTTTGAGATGGAGTCTCACTCTGTCGCCCAGTCTGGAGTACGATCTCGGCTCACTGAAACCTCTGCCTCCTGGGTTCAAGCGATTCTCCTGCTTCAGCCTCCCGAGTAGCTGGGATTACAGGTGCCCATCAGTGTGCCCAGTTAATTTTTGTATTTTTAGTGGAGATGCGGTTTCGCCATGTTGCCCAGGCTGGTCTCAAACTGCTGACCTCTAGTGATCTGCCTGCCTCGGCCCCTCAAAGTGCTAGAATTATAGGCATGAGCCACCACACCCAGCATTTTTTGATTAATGATTTTTAAACAAATTTTTAATTGAAGGGCTTAGCAATTGACTGTACCAGTTACTTGGGAAGTTACTCTCCCTCTCTGCATCTCCTTTGTTTAATAAACAGGTCTGCAATATCTATCTCAAAGGGTTGCTGTAAAGATTAGAGAAATGTATGTAACGCATCTATCACAATGTCACACATGTAGCAGGGGCCCAGCAAATCACTGTAACCACAGGAATGGGCTGTCAGCCCATGTGCGTCAGCTGTCAGCTCTGTGGAAGGCTGTGTGCAACTGAAGTTGCTTGGGGTATAGGGAAGGGCCCTGCCTGGAGGCCCTCTGGGGCCTCGATCATAGGGAGTCCTGGCTTCTAGAGCATACAGGGAGAGAGCTTTGGGCTAGGATGCAGGGGATCCAGACTCTAGTTCTGTCTGTGCCACCAACTAGCCACATGACCTTGGGCCAGTCCCTTGTTTCTGGGCCTCAGTTTCCTCATCTGTAAAGAAGGCTGGATTACAGTTTTAAGGCTCCTGCCACCTTGATGCTGCATGGTTTCCTTGCCTCTTTTGTTCCTTCCCTAGAAGCTCCTCCACTCACCTTGGACAGGTCCACTTGGTATTTGCGGCCCAGCTCATCCAAGGACAGCTTGTGGTCATCCTGGGGAAGGGAAAGGAGGGTGAGTTATTTTGGGGAGGAGGTATCTAAGATGCATATGAGGGCACTGCAGGGCGCAGGGGTGAGGTGAGCAGCATGGGGGGACACGGAGTTTCTCTGAGCCTCTGAGGGCTGCAGGGACAGCTCTCCCAGCATGGGGCCCCTCCTCCACGGCCCAGCAGTTCCCTCACCATTGCCACCTCCTTCTTCAGCTCATCCAGTTCCTTCTCCTTCTGTTTCTTCTTGCCGCCCCCATTCTCTGCCGTGGTGGCGGCAGGTGAGTACTCACGGCCGGCCTGTGGGAGGAAGGGAGAGCCAGAGGGTCAGGGAGGAGAGGGGCTGGAGCCTCCATTCCCACCACTTAGCCAGGGAGCCCAGGCAGTGGGGGTGGTGGGTTCAAAAACAGTGGCTGCCTTTGGGGAGACCGGGGGATGGAGGGTGAGGGACCCTAGGCCCTCAGTTTGTAGACTATTGGCAGAACCAGGGGCTCCCATGTGAGTTTCAGAGAAGGGTGAGGGGCTCAGGACTGAAAAGCACCACTTGAGCTGTTTAATGCTTGGGTGTCTGCTAAGATTTTGTTTGCTGAAAGGACCCTGCTGCTAAATACAAAACAAAACAAAAATTTTGAAAACCTGTATCCTACACTATTTGGGAAAATTTTGGAAGGGAGTGGACAGGGTTTTGTGGGGGATTGTCGAGGGAGTAGAATTACTCTGTAGGAATGTCTTAGCCCACCACCATGGCAATTTTACTTAGAGAGGGCTAGAAATACTCAGGAACTTGGGGGAGTAAGAGTCTTAGGGGAGCCAGGGGGTTAGGCAGGAACGTGTCCAGAAGAGAAGGTCTGGTGGTGGAATGGTAGGGATGGAAAGAGCAGGCCTGATGGACTGAGAGGAGGCAGTAGCTGGAGAGTCAGGTAATGCCCAGGAAGTGGAGACATGGGGTGTGCTGGGAGCCCTCTCCATCCTGCTGGGCAGGCCTGCCCGTTACTAGACAGGAGGCAACTCAAAGGACTGGACCCCTCAAAGCACAATTGGGTAACATGGGAACTGAGCCCCATTTGTCCCAAAACAAAAGAAATTGTATCTGAGAATAAATCTAAAACTACAATTTATATAGCTTTTAAGTCTAGACATTCCTGGGTTATCTGGTGAATCAGAGGGACTTTTTTTTCCCTTGAGACAGGGTCTCACTCTGTCACCCAGGATGGAACGCAGTGTACATTTTCAGCTTACTGCACTCTCCGTTTCTAGGGCTCAAGCAATTCTCACACCTCAGCCTCTCAAGTAGCTGGGGCTGCAAGCATGCACCACCACACTTAACTAATTTAAAACAATTTTCTTTCTTTCTTTCTTTTTTTTTTTTTTTTTAGATATAAGGTCTCACTATATTGCCTAGGCTCAGGTGATTCTCCCACCTCAGCCTCCCAGAATGCTGGGATTATAGGTGTGAGTCACAGCGCCTGACCAGATGGACATTTTAATTGTAGCCTTATGAGGCTCCTGATTTCCCTTCCACTCCAGGGCCTGTGGGCTCACCACCACCAGCCTTCCAGGGTCTCACAGGGAACTTCTGGGGGAGAGGGTGGGAAATCTTTCCTTCTAAGAGGAGGCCCTCTTGGGGTGATAGAATAGGATAGAGGCTGAGGAAGGCCTGGGCAGCCATGAAAAGTTCCCAAAAAGGTACCTTCTTCCTCTTCTGCCCCAGTCTTCTCTCCTCCCACTTCCCTCAGGAAACAGAGTCCTTGTCATAGAGGGGCTTCTCGGTTTCCACCTGGTGCCTGTTTCTCCACTGGATTCTGCAAAGTCTGCACTAGGCTTTCAGGAATTAGCTTTCCCACATTATGATGTAATTTTTGTTTCCCATGAAGAGTGGATACCTGGGTAGGATCCACAGCCAAGGTGTTTGCCCTTTTTTTTTCTTCTTCTTTTTTTTTTTTTTTTTTTTGCAGGATAATGGAGTTTTGGGGGTTTTGTTTGCTTTTTAAAAAATATACTTTTTTGGAGCAAGTTTTTGGTTCACAGCAAAATTGAGTGGGAAGTAGAGAAAGTTCTTATATATCTCCTGCCCCCACACATGCACAGCCTCACCCACTATCAACACCCTGCATCAGAGTGGTACATTTGTTGCAATCATGAACCTGCATTGACACATCTTTATGGTCCAAAGCCCAGAGTTTAAGTTTGAGTTCACTCTTAGTGTACATTCTATGGGTTTGGACAAATGTATAATTACGCGTATCCACCATTGTGGTATCATATGGAAGAGCTTCACTGCCCTAAGTCTTTTGTGCTCCAGGGTAATGCATTTTTTACTTATCAGAGTCAGGAGCAATCCCAGAAGTGTGGCAGTTGTCTTGTTCATAAGAGGTCACCAATTCAGCATCTAGAGAGGTAGAAGTCTGACCAGTACAATCAGAAGCAAGGGTAGGGGTGGGGGATGCAGGGAGAAGTCAACACTGTTGGTCCCAAGATACCAGTGATTTAAAAGGGTATGAGCTTTTAGAGGCTGTGTTGCTCAGAAGTGCTCTCCTCAGAAAAGGTGACCAGTCAAATTGTGCATTTGTCTCCACCTGAAGCATCTGTGAATCTGGTATAATTTTGGCTTCCTAAAGCCTGATCTTCTTGGGGAGACCGAGCAGCCCAATGGAAGGGATGGGGAAAGGCTTTTGAATGGTTCTACCTCTCCCTTTCCCGGGTGACCTAAGAGGATTCATTTAATTGAATGGATTGAAGTGCTTTAGATTCACTAACTGTCTGTGGTGGGACAGAGCCGAGAAAAGGATGAAATGCAGTCAAAGGACCAAAGGCAAGAGATCAGGCTGGTTGAGCTTCAGTGTGACCCTCAGGAACTTCAGGGACAGAAGAGGGCCTGGGCATACACAGAGGAGCAGCGCTGGGTCTGTGGGTAGAGGAGCAGGGTGCAGAGGAATTTCTGTATATTCAGATGCAAAATAAGTTTCATAAAATTGGAATCAAATGCATGCTTTTTAAAAACTTGCTGGTCCATGCACTTTGGCATGCTGGATTGTGGCTGAGCTAAGCAGCTCCATGCAGTGCCTGCTTTCCCCAAGCTCCCGCCCGGTTTTCCGGCAGGCTGAAAACTTGGGACACACTGCCCCTTCCCCCTCCTTCTGTCCTGGCAAGGATCTCAGGCTCTGCAGCCAGGAGCCTGCAGAGATTTGGGGCCAGCGGCTGCCCAGGCAAGAAAGAAAGAGAGGAAGCAAGGACCCCCCCCAACCTCCCTCTGCTCCTCCCTCCCCCAACCACAAGTCCTCCTCTCTAGGTCTTGAATGCTGAAGGAGAACAGAGAGTCCTTTTTGAGAAAGCCAGAGGCTGGGACAGAGTGGGGGCAGCTGGGAATCCGCCAACGCTCCCCCCATCTCAGCCTCTCGGTGGCAGCTGGAGCAGGCTGCGCTCCCTCCCACCAGTGTCGTCCCTTCCCCCAGCTCCCACGCTGCCCTTCACAGCCACTGGGTAATGGGGGGACAGTTAAGACTGCCTCTGCAGTGGAGATGCAGGGGAGAAGGGATTGGAGGCAAAATCATCCCTAGAACAGGTTGTGGGTAGCAGATGCTTTCCCTCTTCAGGGGTCTCTGGTAGGTTGAACTCTAAGCTCCAGGTCCTAAGTACCCCCACCTCACCCAGACTGTTAATTTAAACAGCCTAGACCTGCTCCTCATCTTGTTATTGCATCACCCACAGCAACTGAGGATGGTGATTAAGGGGAGTTTTGGGGTTCTAGGGGAAAAAGATAGACTGGAAAAGTTGAGGTCTCATCACCTCCTAAGCAGGACCTCCTGAGCTGGGTCTACCTTGCTCTAAGATGGAGCAGGGTAGGGGGCTACCTTCCCTCCTTCTCTCTTCACTTGGATGGGGGAAGTGAAGGGCTTATCTGATCCTTTAACCCCTGCCTTTTCTCAGAGGTCCTGCATCTCAGCTGGGGATGCCCTTTCCATGGGGAACCAGAGATGTCAAGATGCAGCTGAAGGTCCCAAGACTGTGTATCTTCCCGCAGCTATGACCTCTTCCTCCGTGAAACCCATACCTCACAGCTCCTAAGGGCAGGCTCACAGACTCTCAAGCACCCCACACAGTGACATTTATGCTTGTGCAGGCTTGAAGGCTTGTACATTTACAAATTTGCCTGCTGAGACACAAACACAGGTACTCATCCATGAGTAACTGCAGGACTCCCCGCCTATGGAGAACACGTGGTCAGGACACACACACACTCACACACACACAGACACAGACATGCAGATACATGCATGCACTCTGATTCTATTTATGGCTCCCACTCTAGCTCAGGAACCCTGGTGTCCAGGCTCAAGATTTCCCAGCTGTTCAACTCGGTGCAATAACACGTCCTTGCCTGACTCCTCCTGGGCCCAGAAACACCCATGGCTACCCCTAGGCACAGTCTTCCTCACACCCTCCCGTTCCTCAGCATGCCCTTTCCCTCTGTGTCCTCTTTTGCCAGTATTCCACAAAAGGAAAGCAGCCAAGCACAGCATGTAAAGGGACTGGGCCACTCTTCTCCATATGGGAATTTCATTTCCAAGAATTCAAAGCCCTCTCCCTGCCCGCCCCATTGAGGTTGTTAATCTTCCCTTTGGTGTAGCCATTGCTGCAGAATGCCATGGACGGGTGGACTGGGGGGGTCACTGTCATCAGCCTTTGGGAAAGTCCTCAAAGTCCATGGCTTGGAGCCCACGGACAATGCTGCTCGGGACATCCGGAGGGGTGCTGGGGTAGGGGCTGGGGCGCATCGCTCTTCCTCCCCACACCCCGCCCAGCTGTCCTTGGCACTCAGGGGGCCTGGAACTGGTGTCCGGAACTGCTTGGTGACTCTGGGAGCCGGATGCTCCACTGCCCCTCTCTAAGCTCAAAATGGACCCCCAACCTCTCAGGCTACGACTCCCAGAGGAATGGGTATTTTCAGGGGGTGGCAAAGACGAGGACTCGCGGTGCCAAACATCCTTTCAGCTGGGAGGCCGGGAGATGCAGTGAGAGGAAGGACTGCCGCAGGGAAGGGCTAGAGATGTGGGAGTGGGGTGGAGGGAGAGATGGAAGGGGTGTGTGTGGTGGGCTGTGGGTCTAACTGTGGGCAGGGGGCCAGGGGCAGGCAGAGGAGAGGAGAGCACTAGGGTATGTGACTGCCGTGGGATCTGTAAACACATTGGTAGTTTGGAGACTGTTAGTTTCAAGTTCCAAGTATCCCACTCAGCTTCTCTCTCCCTCTCCTTCCACATCCCATTCTCACTTCATCCTTCCTCGGCAGCCTCCCTCACCCTCCAGAGTGCGACCCCTGCTCTTTAGGGATACTCACCCCACGGCCCATCTTGGGGCAGAGTGGCTGAGGGACCTTAGCGGGAGAGGTCACCAGGAGGATCCCAAGCCCACACCAGCCCGTCTGGGACAGCCGGAGACCCTGGCAGACAGAGACAGCCAAAGCAACAGGGTAGCTTTAAATAGGTCCTTCTCCCCCTCTCCCCCGCCTTCCCCTCCTCCGAAAGAAACGTTTGTTGAAACAGGATCCCTGAGGACTCCTCCCCTCCCGCCCCTTTAGCCACTGGCCCTAGACAGCCCATTTGTCCCGCGGCATGCCCCCCCTTGGCTCCTCTCAACCCCTCTGGCCTGTGGCACTTGTAACTGGGAGAGGCTGAAGGGAAGTGGGCCTGGGCCCCAGGTGGGGGGAATATGCCCCCTAGGATCTGGCTGAGGGGGAGCAGTTGACTCAGAATCCCAGGATGCCAGAGACCATGTGGCCTAACTCTTCTTTTCCAAGTGGGGAAACTGAGGCTCAGAGAGATTAAACAATTTGAATTGATAAGACAGAGCCAGAACTCAGGTCTCCCGAGTCTACATCCAACTTCCCAGGGAAAGAAAGAAACATAGACTACTCTGTTCCTTCTATGATAGAGGTTGCAGGGACACTGAAGCCCAGAAATAGTTAGAACTTGAACCGAAGGCTGACCTCTGCACTTGAGGCACCTGGAAGGGGAGCCCAGGAGGAGTCAAAGGTGGCTCCGGAGGCAGCAGGAAGTTTGGAGATGGAGGCGAGAGGGTGTCCCCAAACCCTGCCAGGTGTAACCTCTCCAAAGTTTTGGAGGAGAATCAAGACTCTGGTAGGGAGGGGCAGACCAGGGCTAGAGGGGAACGGTGGGACTCCTAGCAGGCATCTGAAACATCTCTGGGCTTTGTTTACCCCTCATTTACCGTTTCACCATTTCATCGCTGTGGAAGAGCTCTAGACTGAATCTATGCCTGGGGTTGGTGAGTAGCGTTAGGGAGAAGACAAAAGAGAGGAAAATACAGAACCTCTAAGATGTGTGTGAAGGTGAATATCATAGCAAATATCAGACATGTGAACGAGAAAGGAGAGCGACTGTTTTCTTCTTCCAGTGGGGAAGGGGAGGCAAATCTGCAGCATGCAGGACTGAGGCTGGAGAAGAGGCCTCTCTGCAGTGAAGTGGGGGAGACTGAAAATGTCTGAGGAGTGAGGATGCCCATCAGAGTCACGAGCAATCCCAGAAATGCCTAAGGCTTTGCCTGGGGCTGGAAAGAGTATCTTAAACCTTATACCAGCTAGAAACTGGGGACAATGAGATGACCCAGGAAAGGACCAGCTGGTCTAGGGGTGTTGTTGCTGCTCATTTGATGAAAAAGCCAAAGGATGAGGGGCACAGAGAGGAAGGGGAACCCAGAAGGGGCAGAGAGAAAAGAAAAAATTCTGCTCCCGCCTTCTACTGGGAACAGTCAGAGGACAGGATTCCCCTGGAGTGCCCCTGTTTCTCTGGGCACAGAGATGGAGTGATGGAAGCCAGCGGAGTGGGGCAGGTCTAAGTGTCCTGAGTGCAAAGAAAGCAGAGAGGAAGGGAGGGAGGAAAGGGGGGCTTTGGCCAGAGGCCTAAGGTGCCTGCTGGCGGGGCTGGGTCCATCTCTGGCCCCAGAGGGAACTCCCTGCAGAGGGATTATCAGCCCCTCCTCTAGCAAATCCACTCTCAGGGCACAAGGCTCACATCTGAATTCCCTAAATAACTGGCCCCCTCCGGGCCTGCAGTTGAGATTTTCCATTACAGGGCCCTGGTAGGTCACATCTCACTTCCACCCTCCTTCCCGCTCTGGGTTACAGTCAGAAAGGGTGGGTAGGATGGGGCCAACAGGGCCGTCTCATGGCCCCCGTCACTGAGCTCGGATTTGGTCTTGGGAGAGAATGGGCAGAGGGAGGAAAGAATGAAGGGAACAGATACCAGTTCAACCCCTGTGTGTTAAGGAGAGAGTGAGAGGGGAGTAGCGGGAAAGCCTGCGGTTAGACATCAGGAGAGGCTGTATGAAGCAAAGTCACTCCAGAGTGGCCCCGAGGCAGCTAGGGCATCAACACTGGGGCAGCCTTGCCTGGGGGCTGCGGGGACAAAATGGTAAGTTGGGGTTTAGGAATCACCTGTTCCTTAGGTTCCTGGGTTGGAATTCCTGGATAATCTTCTGCCCAGCCCTCTCCAGGACACAAATTGATATAGAAGAGCAAGTAACAGTTCCCAAATCTGAAGGTGTGCAAACTTCAAGCACTCGAACAGTTCTCATCCCACCCCTCACCCCTGCTGGCACCTCCCAGTACTGCCCAGTCCTTCCAAAGGCCCTGGCTCTGGTCCCTGTGGCTAAGCTCAACACCGGAAAGGATGTGCCCTTCCACTGCCCCTACAGCCTGCTGGGGCTCCCTGCCATGCCCTGCATTTGGGCGAGAGCACAGCCTGAGGGGCGCTGCTGCTCACATATTTAGGGCTCAGAGAAATCAAAGAGTGGGCAGGACACCCAGGGCCTATACTTCCACCATGCATCACTGACCACCCTCCCTGCCCAGTGAGAGCTTGTCCACCCTGAACCTCAGGTTCTAGGACATTAACAGGTGTAGACACCTGATCCTTTGATCTGGAGTGCCTGGGTTGGGCTACTGTTTCTTCAAATGCAGTCAGCGGTACCAGTTTGGATCCAGGCCCTTGGAGTAAGAGGAGCAAAGGAGAGAGAAAGAAAGACTTGAAAGCAGGAGGATGGAAGGCCAAGATGCCTGGGCTGGGGAGTGGGCTGAGAGAAAGTCACAGATCAGGAGGGGGATCCACCAAGGGAAGAGTAGGGATGGAGTGGTCCTGAATCAAATGTTTGGTTGGTAAGAAGTGTGTGTGTGTGTGTGAGAGAGAAAGAGAGAGAGACCAAGAGAGTTGGAGACAGACAGGAGTGTGCATGTGCCTGTGTACGGATGTGTGCTAGTTAATGACTGGGAGGACCTGAGCGTTGGGTCCTGTGTGTGGTATGAGACAGCATGGTGGTACCAAACCACATTCCAAAGGAGGAGCTCCTCAGGGGAGAAGACAACACTCATTCGGATGTGTGGCCAATCTGCTATGAATCGGTTGTCTGTATGCAAGCATGAGTACAGAGGTGCGTGTGAGTCCGTGTGTGCACATCGCTTCTCGGCCTTTTGGCTAAGATCAAGTGTGGAGTCCGTGTGTGCGTGCGTGTGGGCCAGTGGGGAGCTCATGCGAAGCCGGCTGTGGGTGTGCGTGAGAGTCCATGGGAGAATGTGTGTGCACAGGGAGGGGGTGGGGACGCTGCTCAGCTGCAGATGGGCTTTCAAGGTCTCCAAGAAACAGTTTTGTTTCCTAAGTGACTGGCCTCCTGGGGCCTCCAGCCCAGACTTGAAGGTTGTTTCAAGATCATGAAAGAGAGAGAGGAGGAGGGAGAGTGGGAGGGAAGGAAGAGCTGGGAGGCTCTATCACCCCCATCGTCCCTCCTCCCACCCCCTCACCCCACTTCTCTGCCTCAGTCCTGATTTGGGCCCAGCTCTCCAGCCCTGCTCCTCCGGTCTTCCTCTCGGCTGCCAACCCCCTCTGGGCATCTCTCCTTCGTTTCCTTCTTCCATTCCCTCTAACTCTCCTTTTCCTTTTTTCTTTAGGGCCTGTGGTCTTGTCACTGCTGTCAGGCTTCTGAGGTCTTCTGGGAGTGTGGGTGGAGTTTTTCTGCTTCCAAAGGGAGCCCATCTTGGGGGATGAGATGGGGAGAGCCGGGAAGGCCTGGGGTGGTCATGACAAGTGTCCAAGAAAGATGACTTCTCACTCTTCTTACCTTTCCAGCCCTCTGTCTTCCCACTCCCTCAGGTTATAGTGACCTATGAAAAGGTTGGGATTGGCCAGGCGTGGTGGCTCATGCCTGTAATCCCAGCACTTTAGGAGGCCAAGGCGGGCGGATCAGGAGGTCAGGAGTTTGAGACCATCCTGGCCAACATGGTGAAACCTCTTCTCTACTGAAAATATAAAAATTAGCTGAGAGTGGTGGCACATGCCTGTAATCCCAGCTACTTGGGGCACTGAGGCAGAAGAATCACTTGAACCAGGGAGTCGGAGCTTGCAGTGAGCCAAGGTCGTGCCAGTGCACTATAACCTGGCGACAGAGCGAGACTCCGTCTCAAAAAAAAAAAAAGGTTGGGCTCTGAGCCCGAGTGGCTGTCCAAGTCCTGCTGCTGCCTCAGTTTCCTCACTGGACTACAAGGATGGTGTTGAATTTTCTCCCCACCTCTCCTTTAACATCTGCTCCTCTGTTTTCTTTTTGGTCTTTCTTTTCTTTTTACTTTCTTTTATTATTTTTTTTCTTTATCTGTTAAACCATTCCTTCAACATGGTCTTTCTTTTCAGTCTACTCAAAGTAGATTCTAAAAATCTCCTCTGGCTGGGCGTGGTGGCTCATGCCTGTTTTCCCAGCACTTTGGGAGGCTGAGGTGGGTGGATCACCTGAGTCTGTGAGTTCAAGACCAGTCTGGGCAACATGGTGAAACCTGTCTCTAATAAAAATACTAAAAAAAATTAGCTGAGTGTGCTGGCATGTGCCTGTAGTCCTAGCTACTCAGGAGGCTGAAGTGGGAGAATCACCTGAGCCCAGGGAGGTTGAGAGGCTGCAGTGAGCCAAGATTGCGCCACTGTACTCCAGCCTGGGCAATCTAAGTGAGATCCTGTCTCAAAAACAACAACAACAAAAACAACAAACAAACAAAAAAAAAACAGCAACTCTTCTCTCTCCCTTAAAAAAAGAAAAGACAGATTCTCACTCTGTCACCCAGGCTGGAGTGCAGCAGCACAATCAACTCACTGCAGCCTCAACCTCCTGGGCTCAAGCCGTCATCCCGCCCCAGCCTCCAGAGTTGCTGCATCTATTGGCATGTGCCACCACACCCAGCTGGTTCTGTCATTTTAATCTCTCCCCTAGAGTATTTTTATTATCCTCTTTATTGTTAAAACCACACTGTATAGAATTTAGAAAAAGAGGATGAAAAAGCAACCAGAAGCATTTTCCCCAGTCTCTGCCTGTGCTGAATTCCCACCTCCTTTTCTCCTTACTTCTCTCTGGATTCAGATAGCTCCACGTTATGTTCTGCCTGTGCCTTCCTCAGGCGGAAGTCCCAAGGCAGAAAAAGGAAAG